GGAGAAGGGGACGCGAGGGAAGCAGCGAGGAATGACCTTAGGGTAGACGCGGGGAAGCAGCGGGAAATCACCAAGGGTAGACGCGGGGTAAAGGGTAAAAGTTATGGAGGAAAGCGGGAGACGCGATGGTAATGCCGCTGCCCGCTTTCACTCCGCTTCCGCCGCCAGAATGCCCGAAGTCGCGAACCAAACAGGTGACTTTCACGAAAAGCTGCGTGTAATAACCGCGCCGCGCCTAAAAAGCGCTCCCAAACAGACCCTATATGGGCTGAGATTTAAATATTATTCTTTATATCAAAATACTCATTTAAATATAATTTAATATATATATTTATTTTTTTAAATTTTAATTGATTATTAATCTTTATAGCATTGTAGTATTGCAGTGAATTAAATTATTAAAAATAATACTCAACAATTAGATATATATATATATATATATATATATACAAATTAATGTAATTTACCTACCAAGTTTATATAAATAAAAAAATAATTTTATGCCATAGCTAATAAACACAAAAATGTGCGATATAAAATTTCCCATACGCGCAGATTTTGAAGTCGGATATTGACTATTTTGCATCTTCACGGCCGTGAGGAGGTACTGTGCTTCCGGATGAAGAAAACGCAGAGAGATGTATCATCTGATAAGACCGGAAGAAATTTCTTCATTTTCATCTAAAAATGGGCGAATGATTTAAATAACCAGCTGTTTCCCTTGCTGTCTGAATCCCATTTGCTTTTCTTCTTGTTCACCCTGCCAGCGGACCTCTTCTTCTGCCTCGATTTCTTGCTTCGAAGCACAGATCTAGGTCTTGCATTTGGGGGAGTGAAGAGTTCTAGTTCTCTCATGATTAGCAGTGAGGGTGGGAGGGTGGCTAGGGTTTGAAACGGGAGCCATGGGTGGGGTGCCATCGACCCCACGGCGTGGAGCGCGTCCGGCCGACACCGCGGAGGAACTTATCGCCATGTTTGTTGGTGAGAAGTCCTACCCGATCTCCTCCGAGTTTTGGAAGAAGCTGCTCGAGCTCCCACACACTTTTCAATGGCCGCAGGAGCGAGTGGAACAGGCATGCCAGACCTTCTGTGAGTGCTCGATTTTCTCCTTCTCCTTGTTGTTGAGTCTGTAATGGATCTAGTGCTCTGAGTTTTCTGAATGATATTCGTCTATTTGATTCATCGGCTTGTTGAGACGTTAAATGGGTACCGGCATTGTTGATTGTTATGTTCAGTGTCATGTTTTTATTACTGGCGTGGTGCTTTCTGAAGATGAATGGTGCCTTCTGAAAATGGATGTGGCGAAATTGTGTTCTGCATATGCGTGCTTGAATTATGGGAATTCCGTGGTTGTGCTTATGCGGAATGCTAAAATCATTTGTATTGTATAGAGCGTTATTTCAATGATAGTTTCGTTGATCCTTACTAAATCTCTCTGAGTGGGATCTCTAATCTAAATTCAATTTTTCTCTCTTAATTTTTTTTTGGGGTATTTACACGAATTGTTGGGAGCTTCAGAAGCAGATTTCCTCCCTGGGAACTCTCTTAAATTCAGTTTTATATCTATAATATGTCAAAATCCTTCGGAATGGTCGGTCCGGAAGAAGTGAAAAGAATCATTTATGTGTGCTAATCGACGATATTAGACAATCGTTTGGATCTCTAATTTATATTCAACTTTTTTCCCATTAATTCTTCTTACTTTTTAAACAATCTTCAAAATCTGTTGTATGTCTATAAAATATCAAGCTCCTTCTGAATGGTTGGCCTGGAAAAAGCTTAAAGGAACATTTACGTTTGCTATATTCATGATTTTACCGCACCCTGTTATTTCTTGATTAATTGCTGACTAAGTTATTGTTGTTATTCTCTTGGAGCTCATTTTACAATCCTCTTTGATATTTTCCTAAGAAAAGCAGGACCTGTCTGCAAACGTTGCCATACTCCTGCATTGCACATGATCTACAATTTTACCATCTTTGGTTTAGGAGAAGCTCTACCTAAATAATCAGAGAAAACTGCAGGACAAAGTGAAAGACGTTTATATACTATTTTGAGCATATTTACTTTTGATGAGATTGTTTTATACTTGAATTGCAAGAACGCTTATTAAGTATATCCACACCTTGTATCTTTCTATCTAACTATAATATAATTGAAGTGTCGGACATCTAAGATTTGAATTCCAAATTTTAGTGTGTGGAAGTATAATTGATTATTTTTTTCTTAATGAAAACTTGTAGGAAGTTATTGTTGTACTTATCTCTTATGCAACTTCTCTTTAGAAGTCAGCTACTTTAGGGAAACTAGACATACGTAACATTACGTGGTTGGTATCTTTTCTGCTTTGCCTCCACATTTGATGGTACCTTTAATCTTGGCATTGAAATCGTTTTGCTCAATGCTTCGTTGACTTATAGACATAAAACCTACATAGTTCTTACATAAAAAATAATTATAAAAAGAACATGTAACTGCTGGGCCCAATGAAGTTCCGAGTCGTCGTTTACTTAATAATTATGTCAATTAATTGATGATTGAGATTTTTTTTTTTTGGTAAAAAAAATGTGGCTTGTATTTCAGCAATCTTATTTTGCTTTCCAGCAAGGTGGTATAAACAAAATTAGTTGTGCATAAAGTGTTGTTCGATTGTTTGCCTTGAAAACAAATGTCTCTATGGCAAATTTGTAACTGTACTTGTTGTTCTCTCAGGTTGTAAAACATGTCAGGAGCATGTTGTGGATGGATAACACACTAACTTGTGCTCTTTTTTTTTTCATTTTTTTTCTTGTTTCTTATTTCAAGATTTCTAGGTCACTTCTTTAGGTTATAATCTTTGCCCTTATTTATCATCCGCTTGTGCCATCCTGGAGTATTTTTTACTCTTCCATGTACAATTTGATATCTTTTTAAATCCACAAGCGTATTATTCAAGTAGAAGTAATTGAACAAAAATTGTGTTAAAGGCCCATATGAGTAACTTATGTTGGGTTTTAAAGGTTTTTGTAGAGTTTAAAATACAAGGTGATTTTCAAGTTTAACTACATCCAAATAAATTATAGAATTTAGAAATTTCATCTTTTTTTTATTTCATGTTTGCAACTTCAAGCTACCTAGTAAGCTCTCACTGTATTATAGGTTAATGGGCCAATATTGGTAACTTATATTTAGGCTTATCATGTTAGGCTCATCATGATTGCATGAGGTTTATAAATAAGGATAAATTCTATGTTTTGAAAGCTTGCTATTTTGATATCTCTATGAATGACAATGATTTTTATTATACATAAAATGTAGTATGCTTGAATCTGTTGAAAGAATGCTTATAATTGACATGGAAAGATGTGTTGGCTCTTTGAGTTGCTAATAAAAATGTAATTTCAACTTCAAATTCTTGTAGTTTATTCTTCCTCAAATTCTGCAATGATAAGAGTGACCAATGAAAAACAATGCTGGGCTTCTCAATTCTATAAGTATAAAGTTTTCATTTTCAACTGTCACGGCTATTTGATGTGGTTGCTTTTCTAATATCTTTGCAGTGAAGAATAATTATCACACCAGACATCTGGCAAAGATTTTGATTCACATGGTGTTGTCTTTGCAAGAATCTTTGTCAGCCACATCTGGATCCTCTACTCATTCAAAAGCTATGAATGCAGCATACATATCGTCTGTATTTCTCAAATACATCATTGAAAATGGAAAAAGTGGTACTTTTGAAGAGCTTTATCTCATCCTTTCTGAAATTGACATGGACAAGGATGTTCTCCTCATGGGTATATTGTTTCTTTTAAATCTATTGTTTATGCCATTTTGGTTTTTCCATGTCGTTTGATTCAAAAAAATGGCATCAGCTAGTTTTATATTGATCGGGTTGTCTCATTCATTTCATGATGCACAATTCTATTTCCATCCACCTCCTCGATTTTAGGAGACATTTAACATTATCAAAGTTACATTTCTGTTTGATCAGATAATGTCCATGACCTATTGCTTGAACTTTTGAGGCTTACATATTGCTTTCTCTTATGTAGGGCAGAGCATAGAGAATTTTGTTATGCAAGGGGTGCTTAATTTCATTGGTAAATCAGATCCTAGGTACATTTCTTGTATATTTGGAATTCATTTATATCCCACTGATTTCTTATTTTCCTTCTGATTTGTTGTCGCAATTTTGGTGCAAGTGCACATTCATACATCCTCCATCATGAATTGCTGAACTTTATTCTGGTGGCAATGTCAACTCTGCTACGTTCAGGGCCATGTCTAGGGCCAAAAGGTGTGCACCGTTTCATTGATGCTGCAATGAGTCAGGTGATACTGGAATGATATATCTTTTGTTTTGAGAGTGTTAGATGGATGAAAATTCCTGTGCAAATTAGATAGTCTTAACTTTATCATGCAGGATGGTGACATTGTGGCTTCTGTAGTACGCAGACTATTGTTGAATTTTATCGGTAGATCGAGCATGCCTTTTAGCAGCCATTATACCATCTATTCTAATGGAAACCAATCTGGAGTTTTGCAAAGGGTTGGCTCTGCAGCTGGTATGTTTTATTTGTAAAAGTAATTTTTCTACTCTGTCCTGTTTGGGTATTTTTAGGACAAGCTGGTATTACACATTTGATGAAACATAAAGATCTTACAAGGTTAATATAACTCTAATTACACGTTACATTCTTGGATGTTGTGACCACACATTTATCTTTAAAGGAAAAATGCTATAAGCTCCATCTTCCCAATTTTATGTTTTATTTTCTTTCTTTTGTAAGAGTCGGATGCTCTTATGATTGCATCACATTTCTAATCGAGTAGGATAAACTTAGTTTTAATAAAGTTTGATTTGGAGTGGTTGGAGCCATATTTGAACTATTCATCTCTTAAGTAGATTGGAAATGGGACTAGTCATTGCATCTTAGGTTTGGCTGATTTTTCTTTGTATTTTTATTGTTGTTCGCAATAAAACTATAATCTATAGTTTTGTGTTTTCCACCTTGCATTTGTCTCTGTGTCAATGCTCGAAAGCTTACTTCAAGCATTATTTTATCTTAAGAAAAATCAGGGCTGGTCAGATTGCATAACTCTAGAATAGAACATACCTGAAGTTGAAGGGGCTTGTGCCATAAATCGATGAAGAAAGCTGGAACAACCTTTTTGGAACTTTTAATTTCTGCAATTATAGTCCAATTTGCTCCACCGTTGTTATGATTAATGTTATTTCTTAATTTATGAATAGTTTTACTTTTACATGTTGATCTACATAACATCTGCTAGTCTTTTGTTGTAAGATGCTTTTCAGTATAATGAAGTAAAACTCTTAAACATTTAAGGCAATTTGTAGTCTTACTAGAGTTTTCTTAGGAACACCAAAGCTGAGTGTGTCCATACTTGAGTACTCCCAAAATAGGTAACCAGTTTAGGAAGCTATGCTAAGAAAACAAAAACACGATGCTTGTGAGGCTTAAGCAAATATAATTTGATCGAAGAGCTTTAACGATATGATAAATGATATTTGAACGATACACCAATAAAAAGATTGAAACTGTGTGCCATACATGCCAAATTGTTGTCTTGGAGTCTATATTTTGAAATATCAATTAGAACAAATTGCTACATGGTGGGAGCCAATATTAGCATCCTATTTTTTTTGGTGAATGATTTTGGGCTATTATATAATGCCACTGACGAGGACATCAATTACTTATTTCGGGGAGATTAGATCACTTGAGTGTGTAGTGAAATACAACTCTTGTGCTGAGGCACATTTTAGTGTAGCACTTGTTTCATCATAAGCTCTTACATTGAGCTCATCCATATTAGAGCACTCTAAGGAGGATGCAAGATATACCGAGAGGATAAAATTGTAAGTCATGCAAGTATAAGGTAAATAATATTTGGATGGATGAGAATTCAACCAGATGGATGAGCATCTCAATTATGAAATTTAACTTTGGTGATATGGCACAAATTTGATTGTTGCGCTGTATCGCTTTAGGTTAGCTTACAACAAGATATTAACATAACTGATAGGTTTTGAGAGTAATGAACTATAACAGGATTATGTTACAAACTTGATATTAGTGAGCTATGGAACACTTCTGTTATCCATGAATTTTAGTATAAGATGGTTTTTTTTTTTATATTTGTGTTTAGTCTAGCTAGCAACATTATAGATGGTTAACTTTACCAAAATTGTCCTTAGGATGACATAGTGAGGTTTATGGTATTATTAAGTGTAATTCATATTTATGTCTCTCAATTTGGACTAAGGTAGAATCATATCTAATAATCTAAAATGCTACACGTTATTTCTAAAATTTTAGCAAGTTTCTTGCATATTCTTTTAAAAATGCTCCAACTAGAAGGCTTCTTGCACTCCTTTCACCTCCCCTCTTTATAAAAGTTGCGTGGGCAACCTCTCTTTAAGCTATTCTTTAACATTCATAGACACTCTTCAAAATAAACATGAAGAACAAAGGGTAAAATTGCACCTATAATATATGAGTGGATATTTATCGGTAGCTAAAAATAATATTGAATGAGTTGGAAGGTAAATGTGTACATCTAATGAAACATGGATAGAAGTTATGCAAAATAAATTGCATGGGTGGATACTTGTGGGTAGCTAAAATAAAGATAGAGTGATTAAGGAGGTAAAGTTGAGATCAAATGAAAGCATGGATAACAATTATGCAAAACAAAATATCATGGATTAGGATTGGCTTCTTATTCAAAATTTAAAAGGAATAAAGGCATATTAATGATTCATAAAGGTGAAGCTAAATATTTTGGATTAGTCAATTGATGATGAACACTGTCATTGCCTCGTCCCAAGTCCCAGATGCAAAAAGTGTAGGGTTGCTCTGGGTAGTGGACATCCAACGTAAAATTTTCATAAAAAAATCATGAAATAAAATGGGAAATGAATATATATCTGTGATAAGATTGGTGTAGCTTCAGTGGTAGACAAGACTGGAAAAAGTCATCTTAGATGGTCACATTAAACGATCCTGTTTGGAGAGTAGATGTTTTAGATTCGATTTATGTTAAGAAAGACAGAGTTATACCTAAAAATATTTAGTCATATTGTATAAAGGTGATCTTAATCTATTAGAATTAAATGAAAATATGGCACTCAATTGGACGCAATGCAGAAAAAGAATTCATGTAGCTGACCTTACGTAGTGGGATTAAAGGCTTGTTGTTGTTGTTGTAGTCAATTGATGACGATGATTTCTGCAGCTCGTTTGACACTTAGCACCTAGCCACCTTAAAAAAATTTCATGGTCAACAATTCTTATGATACCCTCTTTAATCACATTTACTTGGCAATCTCCAAAATTGCTTAGTTTGAAATGTATTGATTTTAACCGAACTTAAACATCACACATACACGTTCACACACATCAACTTGAGGGAGGGAGAAAGAGAAAGGGTTATGGGGTGGTGTACAGCTAGGAAATTATGATTATTTTATTTGAAGCAAGGAATGTAGGATTCCACAATTAACCTTATAAGATGTTATGAATTTGAATTCGTTTGAACAAATGCATACAATTCAACATGTAAATTATCAGTTTTGATAATCCAAAATTGTACTTATTCTTAATTCATGCATTTTCAAGTTAAAGAAGAATTAAGGAAATGTATTTACTGCTCATTATGGTGAACTCTTTTTATGATGCAATCTAGTTGAGTAGAAGAGTATTATGCTATTGAAAGGTGTGAAGGCTTTTAGATATTTCGGGTCTATTGTTCAAAGTGTTGGTGACATAGATGGGGATGTTATTAATAGAATTCAAGGTAGTTGGTTGAAGTGGAGGAATGCTTCGGGCCCATTCTGTGATATAAAACTACTTCCTGAACTGAAAGGAAAATTTTATAAGATGGTGGTGAGACAATGATTTATGGCGCAGAATGTTGGCCTTTAGAAGAGAAGCATAAAACTAAGTTAAATGTTGTCGAGATGAGAATGCTTAGGTGGATGAATGGCATGGCTTTATGGCTTTACACTTAGAGACAAAATGCGAAATGAATATATCTGTGATAAGGTTGGTGTAGCTCCAGTGGCAAACAAATTTAGAGAGTCGTCTTAGATGGTTTGGTCTCACTAAACGTCTGCCATCTGATCATCTAGTTAGGAGAGTAGACGTTTTAGATTCGACTTATGTTAAGAAAGGCAGAGGTAGGCCTCGAATGACTTGGTCATATTGTATAAAAAATGATCTTAATTTATTAGAATTAAATGCAAATATGACACTCAATAGGATGCAATGGAGAAAAAGAATTCTTGTAGCCGACCCCACTTAGTGGGATAAAGACTTGTTGTCGTTGTTGTTATTATTGTGAGTATTATGCTATTGATGTTATTCTCATTCTGTGGTTTAGGCTCATAATTCTTTTCAATTCTTGTTGCAGCAAATATAGTGCTACTTCCTTACTACACATTCAATTATCTAGTCAGTTCAAGTGGTGAAGGTCCAAGGAGCCCATTAGCCGATATCAGTTTACATGTTTTGCTCATTCTCGTTCATTATAGGACGTATGTTACACTGGATCCGTCAATGACAATAACTGATGCCGAACATGTTGATTCTGAATTTTGCCTGAAACAAGGATCTTGTTTTTATGACAATCCTTACTCCAAGGCATTAAACAGTGCCAGTGATATTGAATGTAAGGAATGTTGCTATTCTTGCAAATGCTTAGTTCATATCAATGATAATGTTGCCTTTACCTTTACATTTTCTTGTAGTTAATCGTGCTGATATTGAGGGCAATGCACACGGTGAGTCTCTTGTGAGATTGCCTTTTGCATCCTTGTTTGATACCATTGGGCTGTAAGTTATCCAAAACTAGTTTATCTAATTTTTTTGCTACTTTACATATTGTTTTAATTCTTCTGAAATATAATTTAATTGATGATACTTTTTAAAAGTATCAAATTGGTATATGTTCTCCCTTTAAGTATCTTGGGACACTATCCTTCCATCTCCTATTAGCAATTCTTGCGAAATTGGTAGCATGTACTAAATTTGTTTATATTTGATAGGTTTTTGTTCGATGAAAGTGCTGTCTTGCTGCTCTATTCTTTTGTGCATGGGAACTTTGCTTTTCTAGAATACATTTTGGTGCGAACTGATTTGGATATACTGGTATGCTTTTTTTTTTATGAGCCTAATAACCCTTGATAAGATCTTGTTGAGTTATCTCTTGCACCAAAAAAATTTAAATGCAAGCTAATTTTTTAACAACTAGAAGACTGCTCGAGTTTGATTGTATTACTGATGGCAACTTTATTTTTTTACGTCGAAAGCATAGCAACTCTGCTTTGGAAGGCAATTTAGCTGCATCTGAATTTTTTCAACATTTATTTATTCCTCTTAGATATATAAATCTTTAGGTGTAAAGGGTGGCTTTGTTTGAAAAATCAGGTTTATGGAAATATCAAAGAGCATTGATCTTATTAGTTGGTGGTTTATTGACAGCTGCTGCCCATTTTGGAAACACTTTATAATGCTTCAAAGAGGACGCCCAATCAGATATATATGCTATTAATTATTCTTCTCATTCTAAGCCAGGATTCTTCATTCAATGCCAGCATTCATAAACTGGTATTATTCGGTTGATTTTCAATTAGCCCTTCCACTTATACTTCTATTAAATTTATCCGTCCTTCAGATACTTCCTAGTGTGCCATGGTATGAGGAACGCTTAGTGCATCATACATCTCTTGGATCTTTGATGGTTTTAGTTCTCATTAGAACTGTTAAGTATAATCTCTCCAAGCTAAGGGTAATTCTTGCCACTCTTTCTGTTGTTTGCTCATTTACTCATTAATTTTGCAATAAAATTTTGATGAATGTTAGAATGACTAACCATGTTCTATAATTATACATCTATTTTTTTATTTTTATGAAACATCCTGCACTTAAAACTTTTAAACTCGAATTTGTTAGAACTAGGAACAGATGTTCTTCTTTGTATTTACTTTTGTATAATTACTGCTTGTTTCATCAATGAGGCTTTTAGATAGCCATTATGAACAAAAGTAGTATTGTTTGATGCTTTGGAGCTTATTTCTATGTTTATTTAAATTGTTAACATGTAAGTTGTAACAATGATTTGGTGATGTAATTAATACTGAAGGATGTGAAATTTTTGATAATGTCTTCTACTTTGTATCCGTAGCCACTTGTCATAGTATAAGATACTTCATATTGACTCAGCTCTTGTAACATGTAACTAAGCGTGTGTGACTTCTAGCAGAAGTTACTGTACTGACAACATGTTAACCCGTATTTTCATTTTTTTTTTCTGAACTGTTTCATGTTTTACCAATATTTTGGATGATTGAAAGAGAGATTTTCCGGTTTTTACTCAATTTAATGCCATATATATGAATTTCCTTGTACGATGAAGGTAAAAAGTATTATCGGTGAAGATCAATTATCCAAATGATTGGCGGATATGAGTGTAGGCTGGTAACATATTTTTCATTTTTTATATGTTCAAATATTTGAAATTTATACTTCTAAACACTTGTGGAATTTGCATATTTTGTAATTATCATTTTTCAAAAAGCACTCTGACACTTGATTTGTTAGGCTGGAGTGCAGACAAATATAAGATGATCTCATCATAATCTTAATCGTCGTCATCAGCCATTTATATCTTCTCAGCTATTTTCTTACGAACGTTTGTTGTTGTTATTCCTGGTTTCCATGCATTTGGTGCAAATCTTATTTCAAACAGTTTCTGAACCAGGAATCATAGGCAATGAACAGTAATTGGCACAGGAAGCGAAACTGAACCAGACAAACGTCAGAGAAAACGATTAGTTCTATAAATTGGATCATCACCATAGGCATTTTACAATTGAAATATTAAAATAAACTATTTAAATGATTCCAACTAAAGTAGCATCAATGCTCGCAGTGGCAATTTGCAATAAGTTCTATTAAAATGCTGTGTCTTGTATTCAATTTGAATTTTTTTATTAAAATTTTTGTATTGTTTAATTTAAAAGCAAAAGTTTTTATATTTAAGTTTTTAAATTCTCAAGTGCTTGTCAGGATGTCTATCTTCATACAAACTGTCTGGCCATTTTAGCCAATATGGCTCCTCATGCACTCAGATTATCTTCATATGCATCCCAGAGGCTCGTTAGCCTTTTTGACATGCTCGCGCGAAAGTACGTGCTTTTTGTCACTTCTGTGTTGTGTCTTTGGAAAATTTACATTTTCCAGTATGATTTCATAGAGATTTTGTGATTTGATGATGCAATGCTGCAGTGAAATTGTTTTAGAGGCTTTGATTTCCTATAATATTCCAGGTACACAAAATTAGTTGAAATAAAGAATGATAAAGGTCTCAATGTTTCTATCGGCCAAGCCGGAGGAGGAATGATAGCCGAGGATATGGTAATTTTGCCTTATTTTAAGTTATTCTGTAAAGAAAATTTGATCCATACAACAATCCTTTTCTGTCTGTATGTTTTAAATCTTATTATTCCTTATTGACTGGAATTTAAAATTAATTGCAGTCATCAGATCTTTATATTTACGCTGAATTTTTAAGAATTGTGCTGGAAATTTTAAATGCCATCCTCACGTATGCTTTGCCACAGAATCCAGAGGTATGTTCTTCGTCAACAAGTCCTTGCCTTTTGTGATTTCTATGAGGTGCCAAAACCCTTGTTTTCATGCATTGCTTATTACAGGTTGTGTATGCTATAATGCACAGACAGGAGGTGTTTCAACCCTTCAAAAATCACCCGAAATTCCATGAATTGCTTGAAAACGTGTATACAGTATGTTATATTTTTCTATATAAATTTCTTAAATCTTAAACATTTTTTTTTCTCTGATTCATATGGAGTTTGCCTTGTTTAAGTTGTTAATTTTTTCAATTATTTTGATGTTAGGTACTGGATTTCTTTAACAGTCGCATGGACATGCAGCAAACGGATGGTGAGTGGTCTGTGGAAAAAGTCCTTTCGGTCATCATCATAAATTGCCGCTCATGGCATGGCGATGGGATGAAGGTATGTGTAAGCTCCTAGGCATTATTTCAAATTGAACTTCTTTGTGTTCTAAAGACGCTTATTTGTTTTACCATAATATTTTCTAATTAGATACTGAAACTTTAACAGATTTTTACTCAACTGCGCTTTACATATGAGCAAGAGAGTCATCCCGAGGAGTTCTTCATTCCATATGTATGGCGATTAATTTTGGGACACAGGTGATCATACTGATATTATAATTCACTAATTATGGATGAGAGATTTTGTGCATCAAAGCAACAAAATGGCTCTTTTTTTTTTCCTTAAAATTTCATAAATATAGCCGTTAAAAAAGCTCGTTATAAGTATTCGTCTTGGCTTGATCTTGACTACCTTTTATAAGCTCATGTATTTAGTGAGTTGAAAATGAATGAGCTTTATTTTAATTGTCTTTGTTTTGGTAGCAGTTTGATTGTATTTCTATATAAATTCAAATATGCACATATATACATTTGTGCATGTACATTAATTTGTTTAAGCCTGTGTATGAGCATGAATATATGTGTGTGTATATATATATATATATATATATATATTTATTTTTATATGTACAGATATTTATATTTGTATGGATATACTTACATTTTTGTGGGGGCATACAAGTTTTTAATTTATATCTAATTTTCAAGGTAACATTATTTTTGCGCTCAACTCTTGTTTGACTCATTAAGTTAATGACCATAAAAAATAAAAATAAATATAAAAACAGAAAAATAAAAAAATAAAAAAATAAAAAAAACTTTTAGCCTAATTTGTGCGTGGCTTGATTACAACCCCATGTTGACCTCATTTTTAGTGAGGTTTTAATAGTTTTTCACAAGAATGAGGAGGTTTAATCCCACAATATTTTTATTTTCATTTGTTGACCTCATTTTTAGTGAGGTCTTAGTTTCCTATTCCCAGAACCCAAAATCTAGCTCTAGGAGTTCCTTGTTGACCATCTTAGTAGACTAGTAATGAAACCCACCTCCCGTAGAACTTCAAACCACTTCTTGACTCATTCTTGTGAAGAACTCGCATGAGTGGTTCCAAGCATTCAACTTCTAGTTGCAAGGGATAAGGACCAACATGTAGAGGGTCCGAAAATGAGTTCTTACAGGATCAGACAACCTTAGGTGAACCTTCTGTGACTAACAACACACTCGCTACACCACGCACGAAGCTGACACATTTTGGCCTGATTGTCGGTGAACTCGCCCGGATGACTCCAGATGATGAACCAGACCACACAGATGGGTCCGAGACGTCAACTTTAGCTAGAGAGGACACACATATCACCATGGTTATGCATTTGCATAAATGACACGAAAATTGATGCACATTTTTTTATTATCGGTGCACGGGCTCGAGCTCAAACCAGGTTCAACTCGAGTTCGATTCGGACTAAACTCGAGTTGAATAAGAGTTAAACAATTTTGAATTTTGAATTTCCAAATTTCAAATTTTCAAATTTCAAATTTCAAATGAAATATTTAATCCAGCTTTAATGAAATTTAATTAGGAGATGTGTTATGCCGAATAAACTCTTCTGTTAAAGGAAACAAATTAAATCCTCGTCAATCGCTTCAAGTAACGGCTCTCGAGCCCGCTACTTTCATTAATTTGACCCCGCTTTTATTCTAGAGGGGACACTCGCCTTCTTCCCCCCCTCTCGACACGATTCAGGACCCTCTGCACCGAAAACTCCTCATTCGCTCCTGCCCTCTTCACCGAGAGCCTTCCTCGCTCGAGGCACGATTCAACTCCCGGTTCCCTCCCGCTCGGCTCGCGTCTCTTGCTCGACTTCCTCGCGTTAGATCCCGCACGACAGAAAGAACCGAGCGTTCGACTCCTTGCTGCGTCGAAGAACTTTGCCCGATCCCGCTCGCATGCTCATCCCTTTCGGGAGCAAAAAAGCTGCCGCTTGGTCCTAGCTCCTCTTCTGCGAACAAAAGCTCTCGACCGAACTCCCTCTTCCTCTGCTCGATTAGGTTCCCCTCGCTTGCCAGCTCTCTCTCTCTCTCCCGATCGACTTTGCTCGATTCAACTCCCATTCGGCTCTTCCCGCTCGATCCCGCGAGCTCTTCCGCACGCAGAAGAAGCCCTGCTCGATTGCTCGAGCTTGCGTCCTCCCTCCTTGATCGACAGAACCCCCCCGCTCCTCTATCCCGCTCGCCTCGTCTCCTCTGGACGGAAGCAGCCCTAAACAGACTCCTCTCTTTCTCTCGACCAGGATCACTCGGCTGACCCTCCCTCACACGCATTGGAGGTAGGAGGAACTCTGAGCTTCTTCGAGCTTCTTAAACGTCTGGAGCACAGAACCTTAGCAATTACAGTAATTGGGTAACAAAATTTTGTTTTATTCCTATACTTGCTCATTTTATTTATACAATATAGTTGGGAAGATTTACGTACATACCCCATTGAATTCACTTGTGGCATTTTATTTAGGTTGAAGATCTGCACACAAGATTTAAATATTTCAATTACGGGAAATTTATATACATACCATATAACCCTCATGTATTTACATATCCAGCACCCAAGTCTTAGAATTAACTTGTATGTCAATCATATGTACTTGTATGCCTATTACCTAAGCTTTGTTTTACATACATGTCACTCAATTGCTATGTGCTTACATATCTATCACATTGGACGTGCATATCATACAATGCTTATATTCTCTGCATATATGGAACCTAAGCTTTATGGTTACACCACTTTGATCTTTAATTCTACGTAAGAGGTACTTCTATTTCTTAATGTGAAATATATCTTTTCATGCTTAGGATTTATATGCTATTTTGGAAATAATTTGGGCACCATTTTGGAGCAATTTCGGCACTGTTTTGGGGTGTTTTTGTTTGCTGATTTAGAGAGGCTTACACAATGTTTTGAGGCGAATTCAAGGTATGATTTTTATATACTGTTTTGGAGCCAATTTAGGTGCCAATTTGAGCTGATTTTGGGCACTGTTTTGGAGCCACTATAGGTGCTGTGATCGCTGTTTTGGAGTCACTTTATGTGTCGATTCGGGCTGATTTTGTGCACTGTCTTGGAACAAACTTAAGCACTCTTCTCGAGAGTCTATTTAATTATAGTTGTTGAAAAATTTTAAACGTTTTTAGGTTGATTCACTTATTATTTCCTCTTTTGATTTGTTAGTTTTGAAAGTGGATCAACCTTTTCTTGTCGTTTATTTTAGTATTTTTGTTAAATTGTTAAGTAAAAAATTGAGATTTTTTATTTAATTATTTGGAAGACACTTAGAAATATTTAAAAATTAGTTGAAAAACACTTAATTGAGGGTGAAATATCTTGAATCACTATAAGCACAAGTTAAAGCATAGACTTATTAGATTTTAGGAGTACATTCTAGGTGAGAGTCATCCATCTAATTCTCAGCATAAACTTTCTAGATTTTAGGAACACACCCTAGGTGAGAGTCCATCCACCTAATTCTCAGCATAGACTTCCTAGATTTTAGGAACACACCCTAGGTGAGCGTTCATCCACTTAATTTTTGAATGAATAACGAAACTTGACACTTGACCCTGATTCACAAACTGATTAAGACGTCAGACATGAAAATGCACCGAGACGTAGTTCATGTTTCCTTAATTAAATCAACAGTGAAATTCCCACAATGACTTAACCTATAATAAAATCCAGTGCACTAGGATTTGAGCTTGGATTTTATACTCAAATCCTTCTGGCAATTGGGGAAATTTGTTAATGCCACACATGAATCATCGAGCTAGGATAAGTCTAGGGTCTAAGTGACGTGGGCGATGACGACATTGCTTATGCGTGCTTAAACGAGGGATATGAAGTGAGATTATTAGAATAATATCTCCTCTCTCAAGGATCTTAAATACGGGAGAGGGAATGATCCATGATACTATTCGCTGATTCTTGGTGAGATCGTTGCCCCCGACACTCTTAGGTTGTCAGTAGTTTTAACACGATTAGTGTGCTAGCTTGTGGACTATACGACTTTACAAAATATTTACAAAAATAAAATAAGAATTTCTTTTGCATGCTAAAAAGAACTCTGCATAAAAAAAAGAATTAAACAACTTTTGCATGAAAATCAAAGAATTTTTCTATGAAAATTTATAAAGGTCAACGGCTAATCACTTGTATTGAGGTTAAGAACTGCATTATGTAGATTATCGGACTGATAACTCTTGTTCAAGATCGGGAAACACTCCAGCTCCGAGCCCCCACTTTTACCAATGTCTTGCACCCAATCCTGATTTTCCATAGGTGGCTAAGGGTTTCTTTTGCTTGTGATTTTTACGATTCGTTTTTCTGACTTTTGTGCTGGATTTTCTCACATTGTTTAATTTTCTTGCAAGTTTATTTAAATTTGCTACAAATCTTACTGTGCACGCAACACGAAGAACGCAACAGTAACAAATGCCCAAGTACACTTTTACAGTTTATCTACAACATTTTATTTTACTGCATTTTACTTTTCAAGTGCCTTTTACTTACCTGTAATTTGGTTATTCTACATGTAAAATCAAAATCGAAATGAAACAAAATCAAATATTGACACCGAAATTGTGAAACATGAATCACCAATCTCAAACACTTAAACCTTGGAGCCATCACATCGACAAGAAATTTGGAGCAACTTCGTGGGCAACACGACATGGAGCTTGGAGCGGACTACAGGTGGAGGTGGTCGTCATTCTACAACAGCAAAATGAGTCTACACCAACTAAACTTTCCTAGTTTAAACAACTCATATGACTTCGAGGTAACTCGCCTAGTGCGACGTAATTTCTCACCCTATTTTAGGCTGGTTGTGCAGTGTAAGTTTTAATTGGCTTTAGGTTCTAAGATTGTTGTTCGTTACAACGTAAACTCTCTTATCTCTGCGGGCTATTTGCATAATCAGATATTATGCAAATGTAAGTCTCAAATAATAATAAAATTGACGGGATTCAATATTCAAATTACGTCTTCTCCAAAACACAACCACACAGTAGGATAGTCTGGGAAGTTGTTGAGGTTTCTCCTCAGAATCTATGACATCCCTTATCTGTTCCTTTCTTTGGACTTGAAATAACTGTTCATATTTGAGCTACTCCCATTTAGTTTTCCACGTCATAACGTGAAAGCCCAAACTTTGAAATCTTGAAAACTAGTACCTCTGATTATTATCGAGAGTTTTTTCAAGTGACTCCAGCCATTTGAGATGTAATTAACTATAGGGGTTTGTTTCTATAGGGAACTTGGAACCCAGATAAAATAAATCCTATCTAATCTTTGTATTAGATAGGGAAACTTGTCAGTCACACATAAAATGTTCGCAAATCAAATGAATTTCACAAATCTCTTAATTTGCAGGATTGAGTCTATCGCCGATGTCTACACTTATTTTTCGGGAACGTGTAGTATTCGCGGTATCGGACACGATTATGCAACTATTGGACGAATGAGATCCATGTGGTCTCATTTTTTTTTTCGAAAATTAAAACATACTACTTTCAAAACCCAAACTATATATCTCTTTTATTAAATTAAATCTCAAAAATTATTTTGATTTTCATATTTTCAAATCTATCAAAAAGTTGACCGACACCCCATTCACGCATATGTTCCCTCTATAAGCTTTTTTGAGACTAGCTATAGCTTTTCAAGGCCACTGCCATTATCAGTTTAAATTATGGCACTGTGTTGTAGAAAAAAGTAAGTAAAAATATAATTTAAGGAAATTTACGTACCTAGCACATAATTCTTGTGTTTTTACATATGAAACACCTGAACTTTCAAATTTACAGTTTTATAACACTTGTGAGCATAAACTTATGTAACATTTAAGATTTGGGTGTCATGTTTATAAATATGAAAGTTTAGATGTTAGGCTTGCAAAATACTTAACGATTGTGTGGTATGTATGTAAATGCCCCTTATCTATATTTTTGATCCTCACTATTGAAGCAGTCATGTAATTGGAGTTATTTCATGCTTATTATTTCACTTAACTTTTTTATTGTATTTCTTGTAACTTGATTGTATTTCTCTTGGTATTTCACTTGGTCTTTCACTTTGTATTTCACTTGTTGTTGTTGTTGTATTGTATTTCTTGTAACTTGATTTATTCAAATTGACTCCTGTTATTTTTTGAACCAGTTTTACATTCAACACGGACGCTATCAATTTGTTTCCAGTGGACAAACCTGCAATCGTGAGTATTATTTGGCAATTCGTTTTATTTTATATTAAAAATAATAAATTAACATTGTATTAGTTATAACATCAATTACATTCATGTAATGGCATTTATTGCATTCCATTAAAATTATTTTAGATAAATTATAAATTTATGGGGTTATGATTTTAAACTAGTATGATGTCCATGTAATTTTTATGACACAGTGAAGGGAAATTTACGTGCTTACCGAACAGTTGTAATATATTTACATATCTAACTCCCAAAGTGTTATCAGTAACTTTAGGATTCATGAAAGATGTATTTCACTTTTCGAAAGTAATTAATAGTGGTATTTTTATTTGATGTTAAAGATTTAAGTGCTATGAATATAAATATGAAAATTCAGATGTAAGATGTGTAAATACATAGGAATTGTGTTTTATATAGGTAAATACCATAATAATGAAAAGTTTTACCTTCTAGTATGTAAATTACATACGTATGACATCTTTACTTCTCTGAACCTCTTCAGGATAAATCTGCTGGTGAGGAAGCTGGTTCGGTCTAAATCTTTGGATATATTACCCCGCGCTCTACCCAAAAAAATAAATAAATAAATAAAATAAAGGTATTCTTTCTTTCCATGTGTTAAATATTATTTCCTTTTTTTAGTGTCGTAACCTTACAGATAAATTGAGTGTAAAGGCTGTGCAGTTTTAATAAAAGGTTAATATTTGTTGGTTCCATGGTTGCTTTGAACTCTACAGAGGTATTTGAGCGTAGTATTTTGTTTGGCAAATTTACTTATATACCACACAATTCTCATATATGCCATTTTAGTGCATGAATTTATGCCATTTTTTAAAAATTTAGTGCTAATTGTATTTTCAATATGATATGATGTGAAATATGAAAATTTAGGTGTTAGATAAATAGTTGCATAAGAATGAATTGTGTGGCATGCATGTAAATGCCTTGTATGCTCTTTTATTTCATATATTTATGTCATTTTTTGAGGCCGTCGAATTGTTGGCCATCGGTGAAATTCAATGAATTTTATGTGAATTTTGATAAGGAAAAGCTTGATAAACATAGTGGAGAATATTTTGATATTTAATTGCGAGAGTAATATATGAAATTATGGCTAGAGTTTGTTGCTTGATTAACTATTTAAATTTTATTAATTATTTGAATGTTTTTAAGTTGTGTCCATCCTCACTCCTTTCTCTTAATTCACGTTCATTTATGAACTTCGAGATGGCGCGAGTCTAAGCTCAATTGTTCACAACAGTTTTAGAACGGTATTGTGTATTAAAAAAAAATGTTGCAATGTGTGAGGAAAATTGATCAAAATTAAAGCTGGTTTATCGTTTAGGGTTTTTTTTCATTTTTTTATTTCATAAGAATTTGTGCATGCAATGCGTTTATATATTTCAGTTGTCCATCACAACTAGCTTTCAAAGGTAGATTCACCTCACCAAATTGCCCACCCACGCCCCTCTTTGAACAAATATTAATCACGAGACCTTTGTCGACATTTAATTTATAATTTTATCACTTTTGTGCTCTCCCCTATATATATATATATATTATTATCAACATTTAGCTATTATATTTAAATATTCTTTTCCAACAAAAGAAAACATAAAATAAATGGTAATCTACTTCTCCCGCATTCTCATTGATACAACGTAAACAAATTTGTTAAATAATAATTGAATGAAAATTTCATTTAAATATGTTCATTTAAAAAAATTATTTATATTATTTAAATATTTAAATTTAAGTGCTCGACTATCTTTACTACAAGAATAATGGTTGGAAGATTGGCTGGTGACATTGAGAAATTATTGCATCAGGTGTCTTGATGTAAAATTGTATCATGTGACAATTAAGGCCCACCTAACACAGTTCGGGCCCGAATTGTCACGTGTCATCCTATTATTAGACATCTTGATACAATATTTTTTTCCTTTGACAGAGTAGGAGAGGAGGCGCAAGAAAATGAAGCTAACCACGTTAATGCATAGTCATAGATGTAAATGTAATATTAAAAATTTTGAGTGACAATGCAAGTAAATCTTAACCATCCATTTCCCAATTCCTATGTATTTATAATTCTAACATTTAAAACTTTGCTTTTAACATTTATACCATCCACATAAAAAATATCATTACTTTAACTGGAAACAAAATGAAATACAACTTTTCATGCACAGTAAGATAGCATGTTTAAAAATTGAAGTTTAGGCGTTGGAGATATAAATACAAAGTAATTGAGTGGTATGTATGTAAATCTTTCAATATAAAAAGATGATGAGCAATCATCACTATCTCTAATAATGCATTCAACTAAGTGAAATGAAAATTTCGCTCCCCGTGTCCCATACGACATGCATAAACAAAGACGTTAAAAATGTAGTCCACAACCGTAACATGTCGCTGCAGCAAGGAAGATATGATTATTTTAAAAAAAATTCAGAAAATTATGTTAATTTGTTTTTAAAAATAAAAAATAAAAATATGTTAAGAACATACTAATAAACATGCTTTAAATATAGAATAAAAATTAAAAGTAAAAATAACAAGCCCTAACAAATGCTTTGTTTACTTATCGAAATTGTCCCCTCTGATGATACGTTCGGTCCTTATCAACAGATACCCCCAAGTACTCATCAAGCACGTTACAAAAAGCCTGCATGTCATGATCAAGTTGTTTAGACTTTAATTATAGAGTGCTAATGTATCAAATGATTGTTTTGCAAATGAGTTGAACATGATCTTGGAGCCATAGAGAAGAAACGATCAGAATGATGCTTTTATTTCACATTGTTTTACCTATGAATTTGATACGATTCTGCATAGAAATCAACATAAATTCTCATAGAAATTAAGGCAAAACAAAGTTCTTTTTTCAAGAATCCAAACAACTCACACAAATATAAAATATAAGCACCTATAATTCGAGAGGTAGGTGATCTCTCCCAATTTCTACAATTCAAGAGATAGGAAATCTCTCCTAAATTCTAGACCTAAAACTCACAACTCAATCTCATACATAAAAAAAACTAACCCTAAACATAATAAGCTTATTTATACCCAATAATAATAATAATAATAATAAAAGACTAAAATGCCCAGACTAAAATGCCCTTAGCCCTTAGACATATAGAAGACAAATTTGCCCTTAGACTAGACACAAAAAAAGATACATTGTCGTCATGATGGGAAAAAATTAGACTGCTACTTGATCAAGTCAAGGGAATTCCATCCAGCATCATTATCTGACCATTTTTAACATTTAATCAAGAATCCATAGTGACCCACAGGAGTTCGAAATGTAGTATTGTGCATATCCTTTAGCCGCATCTGAATCGGTTGGTGGCTTGATTTCTAATCAATCTTAGAGAATATCACAACCCCAAACAACTCATCTCGTGGCTTATCAATCACCAAAGTCTCTGTGAACTCTATTTCACAAGTCTCTTTGATAACTGTCAACTTAAATCTTGTTTGTTTTTGTTTCATCAGGCCAATCGAATGTCATATTATTAATTCGAAGTGCTGCGGTTTTAGTCTGCTCCTAGTTTCTTCGCTCGATACCATAAATCCCGATCATCCTAAAATTGTGACGCCGCCCTCATGTAGTGCAAATCCTTTTGGTTGGTGCTGCTGGAGTCCATTCCCGACATTGTCTCTCGACTCTGTGACAGACAGAGCTGGTTTTGTGTTAAACTCCATTATCTTCTTTATCATTTTTTGTGTTTCCATATGCTCTCGAATCAGTCTTCCATTCGACTCTCTATGAAAGAAAACCTATTTTCTATGGTGACAAATCCTTCTTCCATCTCAGATCTGATTTGGCTCACATCTTTGCTTCTTATGGGTTTTGAAACTCGCGATCATGTGGTTGACTTCCCAGCTAGCTCAAATCCCAATAGGAATGTTGTCATTCCGTTGTCGGCTTTCCAAATCACGATCGGTTTCGTCCCAAGGGCACACCTGATCTGGTCGCTAGACTGGAATCTTGCATAGCAACTGTCTCACGATTGGACACCATCATCCAACTAATGTATTGGGAGGATAGGGCATGAGGAGAAAGATGGAAGTTTGTGGTCTCTGTACGCCGCAATCCCCACGTGGCCATTTCAGCTAACTCTAATCTCAACAGTGTTGCTAAGGAGAAAATATTCCGTTCGCTCTACCAACCACCGGACGCCACGTCGCTATACACCTCATCGGTGGACGACGTGGAACCCAGTGGTTGGTAGTCCAGACGGAATAATTTTTCGTTGCGAAGGCAGAGGGGAAAAAGAAAAAGGACTAGAGTTACAGATCCTCAGTAGGTTGTAATCTCGTCGAATCCTTCCCTATTTAGCTCTGATCTCAATCATAAGAGAAGACAACACTGGAGGGAGCGAAGGAGGTAGTTCGGGTTTTTTTATGCCACGATCGCGTGGTTACTTCGCAATTAGGTTTGTTGAATGCATAAAAACTATTTATAAACATATAAAGCCTATTTATACCCACAATAATAATAATAATAATAATAATAATAAAAGACTAAATTGCACTTAAACATTCAGAAGACAAACTTATCCTTAGACTAGACATAGACGTAACAGAATTAAAATTTTGTTATGTGCCAAAAATATTATAACAAAGTTCAATTAAGTGCATCCTCAAATGAAGCATAAGAGTCTAGCATACTATTTGATATGAGATGAGTGCAATTAATGAAGAAACAAATAAAATTTCTATCGCTCAAATGTAAAATCAAATCTAATGATTTTAAGACTCATCTCTATCAAATTTTTTTGCTATGAAGATTTTGCCATTAATTTTCTTATGATCATGTATATTAGAGAAGCTTTTGCTCCGTCATTTAGGGCAAAATGAGACGCACTCACTAAAATATCACCTTTTATCTTATTTAGTCTCTAGACTATATATACAAATTTGAGTCAAAATGATCTCTCATATAGAAAATGTGATATTAAATTAACCCCAATTTAATCCCTCCACTATAAATAACCAATCCAAATTATTTCCTAAGGAAGTATTCTGAATAAATTTTGTATAGTCGAGGGAGTAAATTAGAAAAATATGATACTCTAGGACTAAATTAGCAACATATGACTAGAAGGACTAACTTGAAGTATAACTCACAAAATTATAACTAATTTCCTCATACATGGTCGCACACAATACATAATTATGCATGAAAATCCGGCACCACGTTAACATTCCTGTACATCACATTTATGCAAAGAAATTCAAAACCATGTACAGGAAAAATATACAGTTATAAGCATCTGCACATAGTTTTACAGTATAGTGTATATAATTGCGTATTGCCATGTACAAGAAAACTGCCTCGTTGTAGGTTTGTATATTACTGTATATAAATGTAAGAAACTGTAAAATTTTCAGTCTTTTAATTCTCCTATAAGCCTTCCCATGGTTCTCTACTGTGATTTATCCCCATCTAATAATTTATCCTAAAAGAGACTAACAGAAATTTTGAGAAAAATCAGTAACCAACCTGGAAAGAAAACGACTCTTTTCCATTAAGAATTGAATCCATTGCAGCGTACTGATCATCAAAAACACTATAAAATTGCTGGTAAAACTCACTTCTGAAAATCATTAAATGAAAATATTCATTATTTTTTCAAGATCTACTATTTGCAAAGAAGTTTAAGCAATAGAATTTGTGCTTACTGTTGTTCCTTGGTGGCTTCTCTATCCATTTCATCGAACTTTCTAGTAAGAACTTCTGCTGCTGTTGGGGAAAGCATGTGGATGATAAGAGCCTCTAATGTTCTTGGGAAGCGATTCTAATAAAAAAAATTAGTGGAATAAAGACTAAGTTTTTCATATGAAATTTTACAGAGATTTAAATATTAATAATTAGTAATCAAAATTACTGAAAAGTCAAATGATGCTTAAATGTGATATATTTATTTTGAATTTATTACATGAAATAATAGAGATAAGATTAGATGGAGGTACAACATAGAAACTAGAGTGACCAAAACAGAAATGTTTCGAAATACTCAAGTTCAATTTTAAAACAGTGCAGCTAGACTCGCAATGAAAGATGGGAATGAATGCTTGTGGATAAAAATGTCTCAGACAAGTTGAGTATTACATAAATTTTAAAAAAAAAAATGAATGTGTGATTAAAAAATATTTAAAGACATTTAAAGATATTTAATGGTATTGAGCTCTTTGGTGGTATAAAGCATTTTTCAAAATCATGACCCAAGAAGGCATAAAGACTTGATTAGTCTTGGGAATTATTTTAACAAAGAAGATCCAAGGAAAATTCCTGATGCAAATACAAAGCCATAACAAGCCACTGGCTCATCAAGATAAAGGCCACGCTTACCATGTTTGTTTGCAGTCCAACCAACCAAAGCAGCACATATGAACTTTATTGACTATATTAATGCATTGGCTAATAGAGAAAAATCATTAATTCGAATAAACATTTACTCACCGCCATAGATAACAAAATTTTTTGGAGTACCAATGGTTCAAGAGCCCAAAGGATGCTTGCAACAGGGTTGTTCAGAACTAGTGATGAGTAACCAACTTCAGTTCTTTTTTTACCTCCCTCCCCGTCAATACCTGACACCTTCGGGGCAAAACCTGAAGCTTCATCATGACTCGAAGTGCTGAGATTTTCATGAACCAATGAAACTATTTTGTAGAGCACATTAAGTTCGTGGGGTTCCAGCCGATCTGATGCCGATGAAAACTTCTGGCTGTTCTGTTCAGAACACATTCTCGGATCATTTGGCTCAAAATTAGAGTCACCTGATAATTTATAAACAGGATCATTAATACATTTTAACAGTGGATCAGGAGGATGCTCTGTTACTAAAACACTTTTCTTGAAAATTCAAAGTTTGGAAGGAAGAGTTGAAAGTGGAGACTAAAGAAAACAAAGCAATTGTGATCACCCTAATTCTACCATCAAGAGTCTGACACAATGTAGCGATCTTCATAAATTAATAAGATAAGAAAACTTTGAAATTGAAGCAAATTAACAATAAATTTGATCAAGCAGTATAGAGTAGCAGTCATGAATATATACGTTTACAAGTATAACAAAGTGAAAAACAATTTGTCCAAGAATAAAGGTGAGAAGATAGTAATCTTCCAAATGGGTTGTACAGAGAGGCGAACCAATAAAGTGAACAAAATTTGATGTGTAAGAGGATGTTAACTTGCATTAAGAGAATTAAAATAAAAGTTTTAGGAAAATCAACAAATAGATATTGCTTTGAAAAAATAAAGAAATTAAAAATATTACTTTGAAGGAGTGAACAATAAATATTACTAAAACATAATAGAAACAAGCTAAACCGTTTCCCGAGTAGGAAAGAATGCATGTATTGATGATCCATGCAGGAACCCAAGTACTAAGCAAGGAGATAAGAAAATATATATTAAATAACTAAGGAAGTGAAATTAGAAAAAGAGAGTTTGATCGAAATACCGCTATCTAAAAGATGAAAGCACTATTCTGAAAGATAATAATAAAAACATTCTGATAAATTATAAAAAGTTTTAAAGAAGAAATCTTTTTTAGAAGATAAAAAGGAGCAAAATCATGCAGTTTACTTTAATTTGATCAACGAAAAAGAAAGGAATAAAGCTAAATTTGAACGAGTAGAATCAATTAACAGCTAAAAGTCTAGATGAGGTACATGTTGTTTACAATGAAGGGGGGAGATCAACGCAAGTTGCTTAACAAATATTTTTGATGAATTAAAAAAGAACAAATCATATTACCCCTATCACAACTATTTAGCATTGACATTATGAATTTTATTCTAAGACATAAAAGAAAAAATTCATTCGACCCAAATTATTTTACATGACTTCTAACTGTATAAACCTTGGTACCATTTCCTTCCTAGTCATTATAAAAAAAGTTCTTAGCCAGGAGTCATTATACTATCAGTTAATCCTTTACTGTTCCGTCTTTAATTAATCACCTGCATTTGTCTTTAAATTAGTTATTAGTGAATTATTGCCATTATCATTAGACACTAATTTCATATTTGTTCATTTGCTCAATGACAGTTCAATCGATTTTGGATAAAGCCAATTATAAAACAAGTGCCTAGACCCATATTTTTCCAAGAATGAATAAACAACTTTCTAGTGAAACAAATGGAATTTTACATTTGTTCCTTTGCTCAGATATAAAAGGGGCTGCGACAGCATAGATGGATGGCAGTGTCAGCGATGGCAATGACAACCAAGAGAGAAATGTGGAGGATGGAAAAATTGGGGATAAATACTCCCGCAGGAATGAACTATAACCGGAGCACCACTCGATCCCTTGGAAGGAGATCACCATCTCAGACGAGCTATAGGCGGAGCACCACCCATCATTGGATAGAACACTCGAAGGGAGACATAGGATGAAAACATATGCCAAAAATGAAAACCTAAAACATGAAAAACAAATATATAAGCCCAAGATAAATAAGAGTAAGCCCCTCTCAAAATGTCACGACCCGACCTAGTGATTAGAATAAACTAAGGCGGAAACTGCGGTTGAACTGTATTAACTTTTTATTTTACTTTACAGAATATTTTTTTCAAAATTTTCAATATATAAAAGAGTCACGAATCCACAAACTGCAATAAAATTAAACATCCAGAAAAAAACAACATAATTTAAAAATCACATTTCAAACCAACACATAACTTATCAATATCTAAAGAAAATAGTATAAAATAAAACTACAACACATCATAACTAGTACCTATCGGCTGCAGTCCTCCTCCTGTAAATCAAATTTCTCATACCATACATAGCAACCTAAATTTTTTCTTCTCATAAAAAAAAAAAGTTTTAATTGTAAGTTTAACTTAGTGAGTAATTATAATCTAATATGTATTAAATTATAATGCTTATTTATGTATGAATGACCAAAAGAAAATGCAACTCAATACTTCATAAAATCTTAAACTTTCACTTTAATATATTCATTCTCGTTTCACTTTAAGTAGTTACCATTTTAATATCTTTAATAGTTGTAATAAGATTATCGTCATACTCGAATATATCATAAAAAATGTAACCAAAGATGCCCTAAAAAATGTACTTAAAGTCACCCTCAAATTGTACTCAAAAGTACATCTTTACCATTTCATTTAACGTGTACAGTTACATTGCATCCCCTGTTAGTACCATCTGGGGATAATCCTGTATGACTTAATCTTTTACTTAAAATTTCATATGAATTAAAATCCATTAAAATGTATCTTTATATGTAAGTTATTTTACTCTCATCTCATTTGCGATTTTAGACCTTCAATATGCAAGATATAACTGAAAAATTAAACCATTTAATAAAGTAATTTTTCATTTACTAAAATATTAAACTAATACAAAAAAATAATCACTCGCCTTGCTTAGCTTGCTTAACACACCGATTTCCTAATCCCTGACCTTCTAGAATTAAAATTTTTTCAACCTAAATTGGAGTAAACATTAATACTTTATTAAATATGAATTCCAAATTAAGTAAAACTAACTTTAATTTAAAACATACCTTATCTTTTAAAACTATCCGTCTTTTTCCTCCATTCCAAAGGATTTGCCGATCTTCTTCCTCACTTCTTAACAGTAATAAAGTTTAATAACATTAATTTAACTAATTATATTATTAATTTCAATAATAACATAAGACTTAACATTTAATCTCATAGGTCTTATAAGCTTTGAGATTGATCTCCCTTGTTTGCTTCGCAAACTTTCCTTCAAAGCCGAAATCCTTGAATTAAAGTCCTGATTAAATTTGACTTGGAATTTAAACACACGCACACCACAAATTTATTAAATAGCTTAATAAAAACTAATAAAAACTCTAGCATAACTTAAAATTTTTTGGTTGTCCGCAACTCTTCCTCTCCCCTCACATGAATTTCGTGTCAGCTCTTTGCCTAAATTGCACGAGCTTGGAACTATATATCGCAAGGTTTTGGTGCTCCCTTGAATGCAATTTTCCTTCGGTTCTGCTTACGGATGTAATGGGAAATAAAAAACGCAAGCTTCTGTTGACTTGGCTTCTTTTGCGAAGGACTTTTATGACAAGGGTAGAATCGCAAGATTTCCCGATTTTCTTCTTCTCGGCTGCAGCTCTCGGGTAGAGAGAGAGAGAGAGAGAGAGAGAGAGAGGGGAAGAGAGATAAAAATTATTTCTTGGAATTGTCGAGACGATCAATTGTGTATAATTCTAAGCTAATAAAATTCTATACAACTCTGTGAACGTAGGCAATTTACCGAACCAAGTAAATCTGAAAGGTTCTGCTTTGTTTCTGTTTTGCGAATTTCTCGTTCCAATTTTTTACTTTATTGCCGTCATTTTTTCACAACAATTAATATCAGAGTTGTGGTTTCGAATCTAAGGAAGAACGATGGCTGGAGATGAAGTGAATGCATCAGGGATCGAGAAGTTTGATGACACAGATTTTGATCACTGGAAAATGCAGATAGAAGACTACACCTATGAGAAGAAACTTCATCTTCCGTTAACTGGGAAAACAACAAAAAAAGATAAATAAGGCTGATTGGAATATGTTAGATCAACAGGTCCTAGGGGTTATTCGATTAACCTTGTAAAAAACTGTTGCCTACAACGTCATCAAGAAAAGAACTGCTACAGATCTCATGACAGCATTATCAGCTATGTATGAAAAGTCATCGGCGAATAATAATGTGCACTTGATGAAAAATTTATTCAACTTAAAGAAGCGGAATGTACATCTGTTGCACATCTTAAAGATTTCAATACTATCACAAATCAATTATCATCTGTTGAAATTGATTTTGATAATGAGATACGTACACTGATATTGTGGACTTCATTGTCAAATAGTTGGAAAGTCATGAACATGACAATTAGTAATTCTGCAGGTGTGATTTTTGAATAATCCTTTTTCTCGCTGAATACATAGATAATTCACCTATAAATAGGCGAGTACAAGAGATAAAAAGAGGAAAGAAATCTTCCTACAATTAAGTAATTCTTATAATTATGGAATAAACATAAATCCTTATAATTAAGGAATTACCTTTTTTATATCATGACTAAATATAACAAGTACTAAATAGAATTAAAGTAAATAATAATGAGCGTAATTCCACACTCCCCCTCAAGGTGGGTTGTACAGATTGTACATGCCCAACTTGTTGGTTAGCTCATCAAAACTGGACTTAGGGAGAGTATTGGTGAGAATGTCTGCGGTTTGGTTTCTAGAAGAAGTATAGACCAATTCAATGATCTCATTGTCCATCTTCTCTGAAATGAAGTTTCGATCAATCTCAATGTGTTTCGTTCGGTCATGATGAACAAGATTCTTTGCGATACTGATTGCAGTTTGATTGTCACAGAATATCTTGATAGAATTTTCTCTCATAATTCCAAGCTCCTTGAGAAATCTTTTGATCCACATTCCTTCACAGATACCAAGAGCCAGTGCTCTGTATTCTGCTTCTGCACTACTCCGAGATACCACCGATTGCTTCTTGCTTCTCCATGTCACTAGATTGCCGCATATATACGAGCAATACACAGAGGTTAATCGTTGGGTGAATATATCTCCTGCCCAGTCAGCATTAGTAAAGACTTATACCTTTTGACTATCATTCCTTTTGAATAATAATCATTTCTCATGTGTCATCTTTAAGTATCTTAAGATACTGTTGACAGCTCCCATATGTTCCTCAGTAGGACAGTTTATGAATTGACTTACTATACTTACTGAAAAACTTATGTCTGGTCTGGTGTGGG